CTGTCCATAATTCAAAATGCCAGGAAATGGCCCAATATTGCTACACAATTTTGTGCCTGCATTGCCAATCTTTTTGATGCAAAATTTTACATAACAAAGAGCAGCCTGAATGTTGACAATACCAATGTCAACAGTCAAGTTGGTCTACAGGATACCCTCTTGTGTTCACTACCATCCACAAAGAAACAACAGAGGAAAATCCCAGAACCAGACTCTCTTTTTCATCAGTTCTACTACCTGTCATTCAAATACAAGGCACATCTGTTCGGCTGTGTATTTTGGAATGAAAAAAATGTATGTTAAATCAATTTTAACCACATCACCATATTTCTGTATTTGCTGAGGTGATGCTGTGCATTAAGATTGACAGAGCAGCAAATGTTGCCAATTATTCTCTCAGTCTCCTCTTTAATACCAGATTTTATGAATTATCATCTTGTGTTTGCAACACTGGCAGCATCTAGATTCAAAAATGAGAGCAGCAGCAAAAATCAAATTCAGCTGGTACCATGCTTCAGCAAAGAAAAGGAAGGCTCTGAATGCAGATAAGAAAACATAGGGAAGACCTCCATCCTCTGAATCCACAAAATTCAAGATACGGAACATCTCTCCAAACACATCTGCAATCATTTCAAGGGCCAGTTCACTCATGAGTTGTGACAGATCATCGGGATGTATAAGACCCTATCAATTGCCAACCGTCAAAGTGCTGTGGTTTTATTGCAGCACTTGATGATTATTTTCTAAGAAACAGATATCCAGAGAACTTGTTGCAAACAGCAGTGACAATTTATTTGTGTTTTGGTAATTTCTCAGCTTAAATAAGTGACCTTCTGAATGTTTGTTCTCTTTAAAAATATGTTTACAACCAGACACAGAAATCCTTTGCAAGCATGAATATGAAACAACTTGTTTGGACTGTTTTTTTTTCCCTGACAGTCAGCTAATTGGGTTCTAATTGACAGATTAAAAAGTTCATATTGCCCCAGAGAAATCATATACTGTATCAGGAAACTGAAAGAATGTTTACTAACAGTGCTAAGACAAAACATAACTGCTATGGGATTTTTAACATATGGGAAAATATTTTGAATTTCCCTCACAAAATTATATAGTAATTCCCTGAAAATACACTGCAAGTTTTAATAACCAAATTCTTCAGGCACATGGCTTTCCTGTGTGTCCGGGGGGGGGAGGGAGGATGACAGAGTTAACCGATTGTACTAACCTCTAAACTGTTGAATTAATTTGGGGGGAATCTTTTTAAAAAGGTGATTTGTTGTTTTAATTCCCCAAGAAGGAACTTTTCCAGTCTTTGCTAGGGATTTACTCACACGAAGATCCAGCAAGAAAGAGAACTCTCTGCATTGCTGGAGCCTGTTGAGATTTCATCACTTCTTCTACCCATTACTGTAAGGCTCTCAACCTGCATATTATATCAAGAAAGCAAGTCTGAAACACTTGCTGTTATAGTTATGTTGGGAAAGACCACCAGTAAACTACTTATGCCAATGAACTCTGCACTAGTTACACTCAGTTGGTATCATAGTGCTGATCACCGTATGATAGGTGGCAGGAGGTAGAAAGGAGATTTTAAAAAACAAGTTCAGTTTTACACAAGAGCAGAAGGAAATAATGAATTAACAAGCAGGAACATAAGGTTGGTTGTCTCTTATTGTCTCTTCTAGCCTGGACAGAGATGAGGCAGCTACCTGCTCTTTTGGCCTGTGGGTGTGTTTTCCAGTTTTTCTGATTACAGGGCAAAATCGAAAAAGGTCTCTAAAGCAAGAGGAAGAGTTGATGGGAGACTGTTCTCTATTGAGTGATATTTATTTGCTTCTCATATACACATATCTAAACCCCAGATAACTTCTTAACATTGCATTTTACTATCCCTTCTTAAACTGTTTCCCGCCCCCAAGGAAAAAAGAAACTGCCCAGCAACATGAGAGCTATAGCCTTAATGAAAACACTAGTTCAGAACAAAGCACAGTTCACAGTTTCAGATGTGATTAGATTTTATTGTTGCCATGCTTCTCTTTGAGTTAATATTTTATTGACTGATCTTAATTCAGCAACTGTTTGTTTAAATATACCTGCATGCTCTTCTGTACTATGTGCAATGGAAACCTGGCCATATTGACATTTAGACTGATGCTGCCACATTGTAAGTATTAATAATATATCTGTGCACAAATAAGTACTCTCAGAAACAATTACAGCCATTTGTGCTAAAGGTGCTGACAAGATCCCTTTTAATATATCTTGGCTTTTTGTATCTGGCAGTGTGAATGTCAGCTCCTTAGAGGCAGAAAGATCTTGAGAAACTAGGAAAGCCAATGATTTAAACTGGTGCAATACTAAGTAGCCATTGTCAACATGGACTGCAGGAAGGAAAAGACAGTAGGATGGGCAAAGGAACCAATAATGGTACTGAACAGAATACTTTTCATGTTGAGAGGTTTACAATACAGCATATCCTGTCACAAGCAAATGTGTTCCTCTCTGTTCTATGCATAAAACACATGGAATTTTCTTTAGCAACCAGCTCCATTATAACCAAAGACAAATTCTTCTTTGATGTCCAGTGAAGATGCAATTATTCCCCCTTTTTTCTCTGATGCAATATTTCTATTGATGTTCCATTAAAATGCATTATTTGCCAGTAAAATAATCCTTTTTTCACTGAAATATATAAAGAACTATGCACCCACCCCTACACATACTGAGTGAGACTTGAAGCATAAATTTAGTAACACCTCTGTTTACAACTACGTGACAGACTTTCCACTATCTATGTAAAGATTAAAATGTACAGTATGCCTTTTTCTGCCAGTCCAGCTACTTTGTGCATAAGGATGTTTGAACAGGTGTTTATGCATAAAATATGATAATAAAAGTTATTTTCTACCTGATGAATATTGTATTCATGTTCTGAATTCATTAATACTGCATTGATGTTATGATGTTTCACAGAGTAACTTTGTGCATAATCTGTAGGTAACTGACACCTGTGTTGGGACCAACCAGAACAATAACCAAGTTTTTCAGTTTTCATAAAATATTTTGGCAAAGCCAGAGCAAAAAGGAATAGTTGTAGCCACAATGTTTGTGTATAGAAATAGACATAAGGAATGGTTACACTATTGAAACAAATTGGGTGATGGATCTGGATTTTAAATTTGGTTTGAAGTTACATGGTAGTCATGAGGTTTTTGGATTGGTTTGTGCTTCCTCTTGGGAAAAAATTTAATCCATTTTTAATTGTGTTGTATATTAGTTGAAGGGACTACATGGGCTTTTAGAATTTTTGCATTTGAGACATTGTCCTGTGCCTGCCAGCCTCATGCTGGCTACCTCACACAGCCACTATCCACTGCTGATGTGGTGCTGTTTTTAATTTTTTAAAAATGTCTCACAATCTGGCATAGCACTAGTACAGAATGACAGATAGGGAAAAAATGAAAACAGAGATTTCCCTGCAGTACTCTCCTACAGGTGGGGAGATGGATATAGGGCTGCGGCTAAAACTGACCAGACTGACCAGAAACACTGACTAGACTATGGAAGGAGAGATTCTCTCTCTCTCTCTCTCTCTCTCTCTCTCTCTCTCTCTCTCTCTCTCTCTCTCACACACACACACACACACACACACACACACACACAAGCTCCACAGACACAATTTGTGTGTGTGTGTGTGTGTGTGTGTGTGTGTGTGAGAGAGAGAGAGAGAGAGAGAGACAGAGAGAGAGAGAGAGAGAGAGAGAGAGAGAGAGAGAGTCTCTCAACTAGGTACCTAGTTGTGTCGTGTGCTCTCAGAGGCATCTGGTGGGGCTACTGTGAGATACAGGGAGCTCGACTAGATAGGCCCTTAGCCTGATCCAGCAGGGCTCTTCCTATGTTCTTATGACCCCTTCATTATCTGTTAGTTGTGGCTTGAGGGATTAATTTATCCTTTTGGGTGGTTTGAGTGGCTTTACCTGTTCCCCTTTAGTGAACAGGTAAAGGAGAGAATTGAGGTTTTCTGAGAATTTGCTGCCCATTCTTACTCCAGAGTAACAGAGTCCACTGTATGTCTGAGTAGATGTGTATACACTGCATTTTTCTGTTGTCCTGCATTTCAGGACAACAGAAAACCCTATTACTAATTAGCAACATGCTAAAGTTAGGGTGGATGGGGATATGCTGTATGGACATGAGAAACAGTCGATTCTGGATGCATTGAAGACCTAAGAGTGAGAGACAACTCAAATTCAAAATTTGGTCTCTCTCTCTCTCTCTCTCTCTCTCTCTCTCTCTCTCTCTGTGTGTGTGTGTGTGTGTGTGTGTGAGAGAGAGAGAGAGAGAGAGATAGCCCTTCAGTGTGATTGTTGAAACACTCTTGCTTGAAAACAAACAAATTTGATTTTTTTTGCTTTGTTGACATCTTTAGGACTAGTAAATAATTTTTGTTGTAAACAATATTTGAATGTCAGCACAAGCTTAACAACAGAGGATATTTAATTTAAACACTGCAAATAGGCGATATGACTAGAAATTAATATTTTGCAAATGGAAAAATCATAGAAAGAATTCATAATTGCAAGATGCAAATGTCTCTGTAAAAATGGAAATAAGTATTTGGTAATTTGTCTGAAACCCTTTTCAGCTGTCTCTCTTGCATGTTGCAAGAATTAATGCATACCCGTGACAATTTTTAAAAAACGAAAAGTCCTTTTTGGTCCAGGAGAAAATCTTCCTTTCCCAAAACTTACGACTGTGCTCGATCCTGATAAAAGCATTGCCTAAGCATGAATTTGGACCATTACCGTCTGAAATGTGTTAGGGGCACTGGGTGGTCCATTGACACTTTGAAACGGAGGCTTTGTTTCCTTTTAAACAAGTTTATTTAATTTGAAAAATCCTTGTGCTTTAACGAAGCGCCCAACCTGGCGCCCCCCCCCCCAACCTGGCTTCTAAATGTTTGCACGACGCCTTCCGAGGCTGACGAAAGGGAGGCGCTGCTATTAAGGACAAGCGCGGCGGAGGTGAAGACCGCCAGCCTCCCTATTCACTGAGTCCCAGTGAGGGAGACGCCAGCAAAACCCAGCTCGCTGAAGGAGCGGAGCTCTTTGCACATTTTGCCTTCCGGGGGTTTATCGCCGGCACAGCAGCTGCATCAGCCGCAGCCGCGGCAGGGCCATCTGCGCGCCAAGCGGGGGCTTTCATGACTTCTCCCTGCCGCCCCAAACCGACCCCAAAGCGCCTCAGGTTCTGCGAGGCAGCCGAGCCCTCTGAGGGGCCTCCTCCTCGCCTTTGTGGGTGTGTTCGGTGCCGTCCAGTCGGAACCCAGTTATAGTGACCCTAATAGGGCTAGTTCGAGGTAAGTGAGATATTTAAGGAGTGGTTGTACCAGTGCCATCCCTATCCCAGAGCGTCCCCGTGGCTGAGCGGGGACTCGGCCCCACTACCCCAAGCTGGGAATCTTCCTTGCCTGCGCACGGGAGGTATCCTGCCCGCCCTTGAACTAAGTTTTGGTGGCGGCGGTGGGATTTGGGGTGACTGAACAGAGGGCGCGCATGAAAAGAGGGCGAGCGGAAAAGCCAGCCAGCCGGCGAGGAAACGCTCCGCTTGACGGCGTGCCTGCCTGCCTGCCTGCCTGCCTGGGGCGCCCGGTGTCCTAAAGGAGTCGTGAGGGGAGCGATAAGGATCAGGCGTGACGTCAAGGAGGAGTCTGGCAAGGGGCGCTGCTGCCTAGAGGCGCGCCGGGCTCGTGGGAGTTCTGGCCGAGCCCAGGCAGCCGGGCGGAGGGGGACGGCGGCCGCTCGAGCGCCCGGGA